CCCGTGGGACTCTTGAGGGCGGCCTCATGAGCTGTGCTAGTGACAGCGGATGGTTTCTCATGTAATGCCCAACACCCAGGCACATACGGGCAGAGGGAAGAAAGTAACTGGGAGAATTTATCTGGGAGGGAACTGGGTGAGCTCCCCTCACCCTAAGGAACAGGGAGCGGCTAAGCTCCTTTCAGCTCGGCTTGGTATCATATTGAGAATGTACATTTCTCCCTGGTTCCCGTTGCCTCTGCAAGTGCTTCTATGCTTGCTTGGTTCCTGTTGAGACTAAAGCTATCAGACACTTAGCCAAACAACAGACACTATTTTCCTTGGGTGTTAAGAGTGGATTTTTGGGTTTTTGAATCTGTGGGGTTTAATCCCATAAGCTGCTTTGAGTAAGGGAGAGAATAGGTAACAAAAGTTCAATCATTTTTCTCCTGATGCCCAGCTTTTGTTTTGGTGCTAATACCATTGTTTCAAGATAAAACCGGCACCATTACCCAACTGAAAAAAATCAGCAGACACCCTTGTTCCTTCTAGGGTGAAATACTCCAATCGTCTCTGTATTGTCAGACAGCCTACTGCTCCTGCAAGTTATTAATCTAAACTAATATGTACAAGGAGGGAGATGCTAATGCCACTGTGCACGCTGGTGGTGCTTGTCTGTCTAACGAGTGATGTAATTCTCTGCATTTCTTGTAACTCTCCTCTTCCTGTACGCCAGCCACCAGCCTGCCTTATTCTAATTATAACAACACATGCAGCTAGATGTGCTTTTCTTGCTCATTTTATACTTTGAGCTTTGCATGCCTTTCTGCCCAAAATCTCCCTTCTTGTGGCATTTATTCTCAATTACATCCACATGTTGGACATTCTTAACTGCACAAAAACTGTAGCAACTACAGGGTGATGAAGAAAAAAAAAATACAGCAAGGCAATTAGAATTTGCCAAGCAATGGTATTCACCTGGTTTATGGTCAAGTTTTGCAGCAGGTGAACAATCAATCCAGTCTTTTAGTCCTCTCTAAAATTGCAAGACAAGTCACTAACCTTGTGTGACTGCCAGATTAGACTCCCTTTACAGTTTCGCTTCTTGTGTACTCTTTTAAATAGAACTTTCCTAGATATTTATAAGTGTACTATGCCTAAAATATTTACAAGAAAATTTCAAAGCTCATTTTTTATTCAGTTTTCATGAAGAAAGCTTTCAAAAACTATAAAGGTATCAGAACCTATTATTAGACATGAGGCCACTTTTTGTCTTGCCTAGTTCTGAGTAATAAGCATTGCTTGTAGGTACCATTAATATCTTTTCGACAACATTTCAGTTCTTTGGTGGTGTTTTTCTGCTTCATTCATCCATTTAAAGATCGCTTCTATTAAATTCCAGTAATAGTTGATGATCACCACATATTTAAAAAAAAAACAGAACCATGGCAACGTTCATTCAGTGACCCATTCCCACTTCTTCCATATATCACCCTTCTTAGACTTGTATGTAGTATATTACTCCAACTATGTTTTCAAGGCCAAAACATGAACATTCAATACAATGATTTTCTTTGTTAAAAAATATACTTTGGACAGCAGCTAGATTTTAGTGTGCTGAAACCACCAACTCCCAGAGCCAACATTACTGTTATTTTATTCCCCTGGCACCCCTGCATATTTGTATAATTATTTGCTGGTTGCCTTTTCTGAGATTGTAGGAACTTTGGAGCAAGAACTGCACCGTGGTCATTTGTATCATGAAAAGAACGACTAGGTGCTACAATAATACTAACATTTCCGAGTAATTGCAGTCATGGGATTTTCCTATGCATAGAAGTTGTTTTTTTTCCTGGTGTGTACTCTTATTATAAATTAAATTTAAAAGAAAAAATAAGAAAAAGGGAGGCTCGGAAAAACAAAGAACAAACTAAAGAGTTTCACCATCCTTAACTAGGACTAAAAAACCAACAAGACTCACACAATTAAAAAGCAGTCATAGCAATAATCTCAAAATTAGGGACACTGTTTTCATATTAACATTTTAAATTATTTTTCCAATATTGCTTTTTAAAAAATAAAAATCTAAATCAGCCTTAATAAAAAAAGTTGCTTAAAATTTTTTTAAGTGTAATATGTATTTTTCTAGAATCTTTCAAAATTATGCTCTCCAATTAGTGATTTCTGTTTTGACTAACTGGGTTTTTCCAAGAAAAGTGTTTTGATAAAGAATTCCTAAAACAGCTCAAGTAAAAAGTTATTTTTCAAAACACGCTTTTGTCTTCCTGACAGCATCCTCCATGTGGAAGTAGGAACTCTTAAAATTAACAGAAGGTGTATGTGGAGGAGGTGGGAAGTTTGGAAAGAG